ACTCTGCGCAAACTGAAAAGGAGCTTGCAGAACAGCTTGGCGTTACGCAGCAAGCCATTTCCGTACGATTACATACGATGGGAAAGGGAATTTTACAAAAAAAAGCTCAGAACTTTTTTGTACACCTAATAATAATACATGTTCATGAATATTTATGTTTATACATATGAGTATTTATAAATACTCATGCATGAACAATTTTTTACTGGAAAATAGCGACAGCGATAGAAGTAATATAATTTCGATCTATCAGATACACTAGAATATACAGATTCTTCAAGAGTCCTGCGCTATAAATAGTTTGGTCATAATAATAAAGACAAATTGTTAACGTCATATAAAAGTTTGTTTAGTATTATTTTATAGACATAGTAAAATTATAATGAAATTTAATCAAGTTATTTAAAAATGCAACGAGAATAGAGTGAAATATATAATGTAGAATTGATGAGAGAATAAAAATTTTAATTTTATGCGATGAAAGAAAATCGCAATAAGAAATTTAAAAAATCATTGGTTGCACTAGAAAAATAGTGGAAAATGCATTAAAATATAATGAACTCTCGAGATTCTAAGTAAAAGACTATAACTCAAATTGATTGTCAAATTGTATGTGTTTCTCTAGTAAACCAAGAGACATGAAAGTCGAACGCAGAAAGTGCGTCCAAACTATCGAGTCGAACATCGAACCGCGAGCCGAGCCTGCCTCCACATTCAAATCCTATACATTCCTACATCCATATTATATAGAAATGAATACAGATTCACATCAAATTTTTGAATGTGGACGAAGGTCGGCTCGCTGTTCGATGTTCGCCTCGATAATCTAGACATATCTTTATAGGGCGCAATAAAATTTATATAATTTATAATTTTAGTACTTACACTTTATACGTATTGTTCGAACGTTTTGACTTTTTTTGGAGTCATCAGTGTATAACCAATCAGTGTATCACAGTATAACATTCTTCTAAAGTTATGACACATCCTTCTTTCCAATATAGACAGTCACTAACGAATTCAAACTTGAGTGCCAGAGTTTTGTTGTAAATATGATAAGAAAGAAATTCTAAAATTGAGACATGCATTATATCAGATTCTTATTGATATATTTAAATTAACAATTGGAGAGTCACTTATCATGAAAGGAAGAGGAACGTACTTCTTCAGCTGCGCCTAATTTTGGAGACCTGTAAGAGGTCGGAATTAAAAACTTTAAAACGCATCAAAAGAGAATCGTCGGGTCGCGTACGCTTTTTCGGGACAAATTCGCGACATTTCTCTGTCAAATAGAAGCCTTAATTCGTGTATATAATATATTCGTATATATACTAGTTTCATAATTCGTTTTATTATTGTGCTTAACGATGACCTAATTAGTGATTTGCCCATGCTCTCTTTGAGCCATTTTTTGATAGGTTGCGATCACTCGTATCTGTCCTGGAAGAATCCGTGGTTACAATCGATTCGAATAGAGTTTTCCAATGGCAACTCATGTGTTTCATTCAGTGTATCGTACTTGGTCTCTGAATTATTTAAACTCGCTTTAACAGAGAAATAAATGATGCAATGCCGCGTCTAATCTTGCTATCGGAGATCGTCAAAAATTCACTGTTTATCACTTTTAGAATTCGTCATATATATAAATTCTGAAATATTCTAGGGTTCCTATGATTTTTTACTTTATTAATCTAAGAAGAAATATAAAATTTTAAAAAGTTTAACTTATTTTTCTAGAAATTGTAAAATGAATTTTTTAAATATTTCAAAATTTTGCACATGTATGAAAACTTCTAAGAGAAAATGAAAGTTTTTTTTACAAGGGAAATTACTGCAGGGAAAATACATACAGTTTTGACGATATTTGCTCCCAAAGAAAAAAAACGATGTTTCAAGAAAGTTTTATTTCTAACAACCATAATTTTACGCGAACAAAAGATAATAGTAAAAATTAATTAAGCTCTCTAAATTAAAGATAATGTTACAAAAAAACTAGGCAACTAAGAGCTAATACACAATTGTTGTTCATGTACGTTAACAAATCTTCTTTATTCTTCCACTCTACATACATATCTAATGTATATATTAGAATGGAAGAATAAAAAGATTCGTCAACGTACATGAACAACTGTGCATTAGCTCTTAGTTACCTAGTTCTTTTATAAAATTATATTTAGAACAAAAAATAGTTCTGTGAACTATTTTCACACAATGCTTCAAAATTTTCTGAATTTTTAGTGAAAAATGTCTTAATTAGTATGAAAACCTTGAGAAAAATTTTTACATTAAGATAGTCGTATATCTCTTCAGTCAATTTTGAAAATGTTTTTCTATATCTTTTATATTTTTTGAGGTATTATTCTATATTATGCATGTATACACGTCGTATATATAGATCCGATTGCACAACTGCAATTTAAAAACAATTATTATTTTTATAGGATTTCGTTGATTGGATTCACAATGACAAAATTAATATCTTTACAAATAATTGGAATATTAAAAAATGTAATCGGCTCTCCATCCTACTACAATTAAGTATTATATTTGCAGTAAATAATCTAATAGAATACTTAATCTATAAAATAGAGGAAAAATTATATTTTATGCCACCAAAATTTGTAATTGATATATGGTTATTATCACAAGAATTGAATTTAAATATCCTCCGAGATGTTTCATTCGCATTTTGCTTAGATCGTTTCGATGATCTACCACTTAATTCAATTTATGAGCTATCGAAGGATAATTTGCTTAAATTAATTGGGAATATTAATATAACATCCACTACATCTTATTTGTTTGAAGTCACAAATAAATGGATGAACTACCATAATGTAAGTACAAGCATATTATTTACAAAAGTAAAACTTTAAAAATTAAATTAGTAAATCTCCTAAATACGAGAGATGCCACTTAAGCTTCTCCTTGAGCAGCAGAACGTTTTGGATAAAATGTGTTTTTGAAAGCAGAAAAAAAGTCAATTTCCAAAAATTTACTGTATAGGTATATTTGGGATTCCTAAAAAAGAATATGAGATCAAAATTAAAGAACTTAAAACGACTGATGCAATATACCGGACTAAAATCTCTGTTATCGAAATTTTTACGTAGAATTTAAAAGATAACAAAATAACTTTTTAAAAACGTATTATTTTGTTTTTAATATGGATATTTGTGTGAAAAAGAAATAATGTCCTATGCATCATAAATCTTCCTAAATCTGTATTTTTGTATAAATATTTATCTACATTTTCCTATAATTCTAATTTTATTTCATATTAAAGATTATATTAGTACTTATACTTTTAGACACTTAGATATACATAATAAGTGTACAATGGTTTTAATATGCACTCAGGATGCACTTGTACAACCAAGAGAAAATGTTATTATATTAATCATGGAATTGTATTGTTGAATTTTATGTTAACAAGTTAAACATATAGATTTGTTTAATTGTATTATTTTGTTTTTAAAATATATATTATTATATTCATGATGCAATTCGACATGGAGTATTTTTCATTTGTAGGCACAAGTCGACACAAATATTGTTCTATATTTATTACTTACTGAACATCAACAACGATAAAAAAATAAACGATGTAATATAAGAGCTACGAACTAAGATGAATGTTGATGCTAATTATTCATCTTCCATACATATAAACATAACCATGAACGTTTTGATTCTTTCTGGGTTATTCTTAATGTAGAAATTAAAATTAATTACAATAAAACATTTGCAAACTAAATTAAACAATAAAAAGAAGAAATACTTTTACAATTATTCTCTCGCGTGTCTTATAATAAAATCCCAGTCAATATGACACTGCTAACGACTTCTCAACAGAATACAATACTTCTTGTCGAAATAAAATGATTTGTATCCACGTATTATTGGATGTAGTCATATTCTATGAGTCAGATAATAGGAAAATGTGAAAACCGTTTTGACTATTAAGAATAACTTTCGAGAACATAACTATACATAGCTACACATAAGAATAAAAATTATAAAAACGTAAAATATAAAACGGTAATTACATGTATTGTAAGTAATATAATAAAAATCAATTATTTGAGATTAATAATATAATATAATTACAAATAACATAATGATAAAAAGGATGTTTGTAACAACTTGTGTGACCAAATGGAAAGCACTCAACGTATCCCATTAGACTATCATGAAAGGAACCTAAAATAATGTTTTCCAAAAGTTCACGATACCACATGGTACGTAGGACGTAGTCATAATATTGCATTCTTTCGGCTTAACATTTGACATATGCACAGTACCGCTATATTCATTAGAAGCCAATTTTTCATAAGTTCATAAGAAGTTTGCAGTGTAATATATACATATGTAGTGGTATATACATATAGAGTTTGTGAAATAATATATAACAACATGAAACATGGTATATCATAAATTTTATAATTTCCAAATAAAACTAAGTAAAGTTTAGTATTTTAATTATCAGATTTTAAATTAGTTTATATTACCGCCGAAGAATAAACGAATAAAGGGCTAAATTCTAATTGGCTATAGCAATAAATATGTGCAAAAACACTATGTCTATTTACGTTATATTATATTCTATTATGTGTGCGTGTGTGCGTGCGTGTGTGTGCGTATTAATATATTATAATTCTATGTAATAAAATTTATTCTTGACCACTTAGAATTCTATATAATCAAATCAATTTTTTTCAGGATTTTACAATTCCTTTAGAAATCTTAAAGAATAAGGAAACAAAAATACTACACAGTATTATATCTTGTGAAGACGCTGATTTTGACAATGAAAAATTTATTCATTGTTGGGATGGTAATGATTTTTTTGAACTTACCTCATTTAAATATCCTAAAGATATTTTTAAATATTGTACTGATAAATATAATGAATTAGACGGGATGCAATTCGTTGGAAGAAGTATGTACCCTTTTTTGGATTTTATTCTGTTTTATCTAGAATAATATTATCTTATTCACATTCAATATTTTATAATATATAATTTATTTAGAGTACAATCTTTACCTGTGTGGTGGAAAATTTAACTTTACAGAACTATATAACAAAAATGTGTGGCGTTACTCCTTGATATCTAAAAAATGGTTCCTTGAGACTACGTAAGTATCCTAATGCATTCTTAAATAAATGAAAAGAGTAATAAAATAAATAGTATGTTATTTGTTAAAATAATTTCTGTAAATGTTTTAGTATGCCAATTGAAAAAAATGAGTATATGATTGCTGCGTTTGTAAAAAACAAATTAATTCTTGTGGGCGGTTTTACAAGTAACAAAAGTGTTGATATCTACGATATTTATACAGGTGATTTTATTATACAGTTATACAAAATGCATTTTATTAAACCAATATGAAAAGTATACAGATAGTGATTTACTAAACTTTATGTTATAATTCTCTAAGAAGATTATTATGTATATTTTTTTAGATTAATCATAAAATTGCTTTCATAGTTATTTATTAATTGTTGGGAATAAAAGAGTTTTTTAGAGAATGATTGTAAGAAGTCTTATTCAGTCAAAACGGACTTGACGACAACGATCGTGCTGATAACAAGTTTTGTTTTTAGACAAAAGACAGAACGGTTGTCATGGCATGAATACAATAAACGCGCGTAGCGACAAACAGAACATTAAATACAAAGATGCCGATAACTAATCGTCTGTAGCTTGCATATCAGTTATCCGCCGGGTGCCACACTTGATTGGACAAGCAATTATCTATCAATCTTCCACTTTGCGATGTCCTATCCCATAATATTCAGACATCGATTATGTGAGATTCGTTTTAATCCCTTGGTAAACATGTCCGCAGGATTTTCGTTGGATGGTACATACGATAC